GGGGGGGGGGGGGGGGGGGGGGGGGGGGGACCCGCTTCTCAAGGGGGAAGCTTTTTTGTTCATAATTACCGTGTCGGTATTTACGACGGGACAAGCTAGAGCTTTGACCTGCCCATGCTGAGTTCAATCACTCTCCGTCGACTTGAAGGCAAGGATTCTTGAGGCTTCGCTTCGTCACTCTGAACCAATGGCGAGGATCTCTCATCTCCATCATAATCATTGTCATTTATCTCGGGCAAATGCTATCTATAAATCCTTGCATGACTTTCAACTTTGTTCAATACAAGAATCGAGCTGATGGCCGCTCCTAATCAAACCTGGCGGCCAAGACTGCGCCATCACCAGCTAAAGAGCATTCATCAAGTTTTCATACACCCCCCCGAATATGCCCAAACTTTCCAGTTATGATATATGCACAGTCATAGTGTTCGAATAGAAAGGCTCACGGGCTTTCTGAGACTTTCAAGATACACACATTGGCCTGTCTTCTTCATGCCTCAGGACTTAATGCAGTTTGATGGTGAGCTGAGCTTTCCATGCCCTCCAGGCCTTTCAATTACGTACTCGTAAGGGGCACTGTCAGTTTATAAACAAAAAAGTGACAGCTGACATAGAGCAGTCTGGCTGTATCAGAACTCCCGTGGATGCAAGGCCGTGGACATTGAATGGAGTCGTAAATCCCTAGAGGAAATCGGTTGTCAAAACCGGTGTGACGTTGCCGTTTCCAGCAATGCCAGCTGAGAATTTCCACAAGATGTCGACGAGTGCGTGATGCATCACGTCTGAGCCCACATCACTTTAATTTCCATCATTACAGGTTGAGGTTGATGGATTTACGATGAAAAGCGGGGACGTGCAAAGAATCATTATTTCCACTCACACCCAGCAAATGATGGTTTAATACGGCCAGGAGGAATCTTCGAAATCCTTGGGTGTATCGATAAGAAATCAAGGTGTTGGTTAAGGTGAAAAAAGCACGGTCCCAAGAGGAAAACGAACGAAGCCGTTCCTTTCTGAGGACGCCTCAAGGATTGGCAAGCACATAACGGCAGTCAATTTGACCATCTCGCGTGTCATTTCAATGGGTCATAGGGTCAATCTTTATCGATGGATCCGACCTGAAGAGATTTTAGCTGAGTCACATGGCATCCATGGGAAAGGCTTCCCCTCAAGCAGACACGATTGGACACAGGAATGACCGTTATCCTGTCTGGTTTCGGAAATACACACTCATCGTTCTTTAACGTTCCTCGTGATGGGATGGTCGCAGAGTGCCTACTACCATTGTGCCTACTGGAGGCCGTTGCACTGTGCCCATGTTACTCGTCCTGTCGTAATATAAGGGAACAGCTGAGATCTTCCAAGATCCATAAGTTCCGGGTTCGATTTCCATCGTCGCATGACTCTCTTCTCTTTTCCTTATCACATCTTCTGCGACTTGCTTTGGGATCGCGATCCATGGTCGCGGTTTCACATGGCCGTCGGTCGCGGTTGCCGCGGTTAGTTTCGGTTTGGTATGAAGTAAAAGAGCTGATAAAAATAGCTTTGGACAAATGGGAGGAGAGATGGGCATGAGGAGCATATAGAACCTGCTCAAATGATACTTGGAAATTTTTTTAGCGTGGAACAAGTAGAAGAAGCTTGAAGTAGTCGGTAAGATAATGAATTGGGTGCAGCGAGCAGCAGGAGGGCAGACAAAATTCAATTGGACGGTGCGTCCTTGACTTGAAAAAAGTCGGGGGAGGAAAAATCCCCCATCCTAATCGTCCCTCTCCTTCCAACCCCCCCTCCTCCTTACTCACGTCAATGGTTGACCCATGTGTTAATTCGGGCAATAATTCTCCAAACGAGGCAGCCAGGTAGAGAAATTCGACGAGACAGATGAAGACAAATGGGCCCCCATTGTTTTAACGAAGTCTGGACCGGGTTATAAGGCTGCCTCTTTTACTCTTCGACGTCGACGACATCAAGTCTTTAAAATAAATCTACACGTCACCACAAGGAACCTCGAAAGAATTGCCCCTGCCACGGTGAAATGTGACCAAGATCTCGCACGGGTAATTATCGTCACCATATATGGAGATGGGAGTCTCTCTGAGGTGCCATTGTATTTCACTTGGTGACAACACATGTCTGGAGGGTTCGATTAGGAATGCTGACCCCACGAGTCGTTTTTTAATTTCAACTTTTCTACTCCCCGGCTGACGGTTCTTCACATGATGGGAAGTTGTGACAAAAGGTAGACGTTGCTTTCGGAAGGTAGGATAGAATTTCGCAGAGTCACGGAAATGATAAAGAGTCGCATTGAAGGAAGTCCTGCTGCGTCCAATGCTCCTTGTCCCGGGTATTACCGTGTAAGGGCTCATTAATCATGGAGAGCGGGCAATTAAAACGGTGATCGTGACTGGAGTTCTCCAGTGACCCCTCTTCTCCCTTTCATGAAGACCAAAGACCTTCACTTCGCTTGTTTGCCCTCCCCTTCGTATGAAAAAAAAAATGAAGAAAGGACACTCACATTGAGGAAATCACGGTGCCAAAAGACGACCGGCTTCGGGTTCCCAATCACTTCGCAGTGAATGACGACAGTGTCTCCTTCGAAGACTTCCGAAGACCGCGGTTTCACCAAGAACTCCGGAGCTTTTGCCTCCCTGACAAGACAGAGGACATATAATCATTGCGTGACATGACTGAATTGTGCATGTGAAAAGTAGCCTGCTCGTGGATACTATTCACAGTTCACAATTTGTAGCTAACGCCCCACAGCCGAAATCAATTTAAATGGCAAGTTTGACAGAAGAGCAAGATACGACATGGGTGCTTTTTAAATTATAATTCTTGGCATCAGTTGCTCAGTGGTGCAAAGTCATTCCGCAATTCATCCCAAAGAGACATTGAAACCAGAGGCGTGCCCACCACAGATTGAGGTGGAACAGCAGCCTTACGTGTCTTAAGTGGTAAGTGGGTTGGTCTCCAGTGTTCAGATTTTAGAAATTGAACTGAAGGGTTTTTGTGCTCATGAGTTTCATAGCTACCGTGACGATCTGAAACGGAGAAGCAGGATGAGATTGAATACGAAGTCCAAAGGTTATTTCTAGTCCATCATGACATCGTCTGAGTAGCGATATAGCTATGGGGGATGAAGGTATCCTCAACGGAAACATGTCATGCAAGCAGTTGCGGATGTTAGGGGAGATCGTCCCACCTACGACTCTAATATTCGTTAATATTTCACTTGTCAGGTTAATATTCATATAGATCCTGGATGGGATGGAATGCTAGGAGGATTAAATATATTCAAACTTTAAAGGCAATGGCAGCTTGACCGATAGCAAAGTGGTCCAGTGCCAGTACCCCTCCTTCGATCCCTACCCTATCACCCCCACTTGTAACCACCTTAGACCCCAAGAAAGAAGACCTTGGCAATACCACTGCATTTGAGATGGGCGGGAGGTTGGAGGTGGAGGTTATAGGGGCAGAGCTGCTTCATCTGACGAAAATCCTGGGCAGCCTACTGATTGCAACTGTCATGGCAATAAAAATGGCGATAGTTCGTCGTACCTTTCTTCTCTCTGAATGCCGGCTCTTACGAAACAGAGATTTTCGCTATGACTTTACAGCTAAAGCGAGTGAATTTTCTCCCTTCTCTGATGACTTTCGAGACATTTTACATCACCAACGAATGGTAGGGATCGACAACGAAACCGTGACTTCTCAAGTTCCTCTCATTCGGCATTAGATTCTTGATAGGACTGAATGTAAAAAATTTCGGCACGCATATCTCGTCATTTCTTATATTATAGCATAGTAACACTTTATCTAGCATCAGCGGAAAGAAAGGGAGAGCGGGGGTGGGGATGTTGAGTTTACTTCCGACATCTATTCTCAGAAGCTTGAGGCAAGGGTAACGTTGACAAAATGCAGATGTCGCCGTCGCGCGAAGGAAAGGCACGATGAAAACCATTGAAATATCGCCACACCCTGATAGGGCATGATTCATTGCAATGTCTCTAAATTTCTCGATAATTCTGTGGGTATGCAATTGAGGGTTGTGCAAGATTATTCACAGTTTCTAATGTTCTTATGTGGAAAAGGGTCCAGTGGCGTACAGGGGTTTTCGGATACCTCAAGCAGGGCAGTAAATTTCCCTCAATAAATTCGCCACTATCCATCTCTTCGTACTGTCACACTAGTTCTCTACAAATGTGGATCCACAGAGGGGAGGGAACTTTTTTGCTACACAAGGTGAGGTGAATCAGGGTCGCGAATCTCTTCGACTCTCTCCAACATGAGTCTCTGAGTCTCCACTCTCCCAATCCTTTCCTATAGATCATTAAGGGTGACCTTCGCCCATTAAAAAAAATTACCGCAAAACCACTGGACTCATTCGTGCCTTTTGACCTACCATCGACAAGACGCACCTGCTTAGGTCTTTGCCTATTGTTAGACATTAGCCCAAAATTGACATAGGTGAGCGTCTATATTATGGACCCCCCGTGACTCAGACATCCACCACATCCTGATGAAAGTGAAGCGGTCGCCTCACTCTGGTATGAGTCAGGTCTACACACCACTGGGTGTGTGCCAGATCGGCCTAGCTAAATAAATTAAAAGAGACAGGAAAAACAAAAGAGGATGGATCTCTCACCCATTGAGAGGGAGATAATCAGACGAGCTATCCATCTCCGGAGACGTGACCGTCAGTCGAAAGCATTGGGAAGTTCGACCCATGCAGTTGGAAACAGTGGCGGTGTAAACCCCAGCATCTTGAGGGAGTAGAGGTGTGATGGAAAGAGAGAGAAAACCATCTTTCTCTAGCCTCATCCGATGCCTTCTCGAACATCGCAGCCGCTTCCCATCCTTACACCTGGAGTCAACGTAGCATTCAAGGGTTTTCATTCACAGCACTCAACTCGAGATGAAGATGGAGTTTTGCCTCACCAGCACACGCCGGCAGCCGGATAAGCATCAATGGTGGCTTCCAAGACCAGGGTGCCACCTTCAGGCAGATTCGCATCCGTGAAAGCCGATGAAAACCGAGGACACTTGTGTTCGTGAAGTCCGGAGTCCACTGTGAGCCGAGCGTGACACGCCGTCGCACCGTGCTTGTTGCACGCACGTGCTGTATATACACCGACATCGTTGTATGTTGCCACTGGAATCTCCAGGGTGGCGAAATTTCCCTCTCGGGTGCAAACTATATGCTCTAATGAACAAAGGATCTCATGTGACAACCATGGCAAATAGTTGGTGATGAATGACGGCAGCAAAAGATAGGGGAAACATTCAGAAACCTGATTCTCGGAGGAGCTGTCCATCTCGAAGCCATTGGACTAAAGATTCTGGATTGGAGTGTACTTGACAGGTGAGACGAACGGGGTGAGACACTTGAACCCTCCTATCTCGAAGGCGAAGAGAGAACTTGGGTGCTGATGCCTCTTCGTCGACCGTTCTCAAAATCCTTGAAAACATTCAGCATTAAAATTTTTCATTCGAATTTGCAGAACGATTCTAGTCCTATCTTGTAGTTGAATTTATATTTAGAGCGTACTCGCGACAAGTTTCTCATACCTGGAATAGATCGGATCTCGAACGTTGACATGGTCGAGGAGAGTGGGGTCCTGCACGACGGACACCACGGAATGAGTCGTTACCCGGCCTCCGTCATTCTGTGCTTGACACATGTATTTCCCATGATCCGAGACCTGGACGTCCCGGACCATAAGACTGTAGATGCCATCATCATGTTCAAAATGAAATCTGTCACCATCGTGTTTTGACAATGGCATCCCATCCCGGAACCAAGCCACCACAGGAGGCGGGTTCCCTTTCACCTGAACAAAAGGTTAAAGAATACACCTCAGCCCTCCGGGAAGTACTGTATACAGAGGCTAAAAGGATGGGGAGGATAGGTATGGATAGGCATTTGCTCAAATTATCGATTTGGCACGTCTACACTGCAGAGTCACTTCAAGTGCCAGCGAAGTGTCGTCTAAAAATTGCCATCTCGGCATGTGCGCGGGATTATTTCTGTCAGACGGTCCTGGTCATTCATCTTCGGTTGTGCAGGAGATAATCACATGAAGATGAGGAATTCAGGAGTGCTATCTTGGCACAGGACTGCTTTAAGTAGTCTTACACCATGGACACCATGAAGCAAATCAGATGCATTGCAATTTTTTTTTTCAATCTTGGCGAGTTTGCTGGAATCATGATTCACCATGTGAGTCGTCACCAGAACGATCGAGAATATTGAACGCGAGGAGGCTCTTTTGGAACTCACCTGACACTGTAGTTTCAAGGTCCACCCTTTAAGGAGCCGGAGATGGCCAGGCAATATGCGAACGAATTCCGGCAGACGAGACCGATGTCCAAGTCGTACGGGGGATACCGTCGTCACAGGTTCTCCCCAGCCGTATTTATTTCTAGCTGTTATCCGGAACAGGTAATCCCGATCCGGCTCCAGATTGAATGCTTCATACTGGCTTACTGGCGACAGTCCAACCTGTCCCAAGAGAAGACAAAAGATGTTCCCTCATCTTTCTCTCCGTTTTCTCAGGTATGAGAACATGAAGCCATTGCAGTGGGCGGATACGCCTTTCTTACTTCCTTCCACGTCTTGTCTTCCACATCGGCTGCGCAGGCTTCTACTTTGTAGGCAGTGACAGGAGCACCTCCGTTTCGATCGGGTTTCAACCAGGACAATGAAACCCATGACTTTCCCACTTCTGTCACACGGGGTGCTTCTGGGAGTCGGCCAGGAACATCTTCAGCAGCAATGAAATAAAAAAAAAGTCATTGAATTCACAGAATGTACTCTGCCACCAAATTACACCATTAGTTGATTTTGAATGAATGGAAAGAGGTCGTATGATCAAAAAGCAATATGACATACCCATTACATTTTACATACATACGAATTACATTTTGAATCACATTGAAGAAGCGCAAATATTGCAAAAAAAAATCGTCAAATCAGGAAATGCTCAATTATTCTGGGTCAATACTCAACTGCACAACAATTAATAATCGAGTCGACCCGCGATATCATCGTCATTCACGAGTTTTTTCAGATTCCTGCCACTCCACATCGAGCGATTCCGTTCAAATTTTTTTTATTGCTGGGGTTCACAAGCTTAACGTGCTCACCGTATTGCAAGTCAAAAGGTAGGAAGGTGAAATAGAGGGAATTGGAGAACCGCTTGGACCACTGCAGACGAAGTACGACGGACGGGAGCAGCGCATGGTTAAGCCCACCTCGTGCACCTTCCTCCATTTCTCGGATTCAAGGGTTAACATAGCCATTCATTCCCTGAGTATATGAGGGAATGTCGGAAGGGCACTGGACGTCTCCAAAATCACACAGGAGGTTAGTGCACACTGCTCGACATACTCCTTTTCCGCTCACACGCCTACTCACAGGCATACACGGAGAGTGAATGGGGCGACCTTTTGGCAAGCCTCCATCCTCTCTTCTCATCGAGGTCCTGTGCCCTTGCTATTTCTTATCCCTAGTTCATTCTTTGGCGATATTCCTCAGCGCGGGTCGGCACGGCTCGGCTGAGCAAGTGAAAGCAGCAGCTGCAGCGGGAGCACAGGCATGGCAAGGCCTCTTTCCTGGCAGTCTATATTTAGCAGCCTGTGCCGCTTTTGCACGTTCACCCATTCTCCCCCAACAGACCGCCTACATTAACATTCCACGGCGACTACGATCAGCGGAGTTCCACTGAGCCGCGATTTCAAGCCGAGGAACGTATCGATCTTCAGCAGGAATTAGAACGCCTTAATGAGAGGGGAGTGAGATATGTCTATCAGTAAAGGTAGACTGGAAGGAAGGCAGACCCTTTCATCTTTCCCTGCAAAAAGGAATTCCTTTCATTGAAGATGACTTACGTCTGAGTGGTTTCCTTGTTCGCTTCCTTTCCAGTTCGTCCAGAAGTTCTTCAGTGCCGCGAAGGTCCCAGGGACATACCCTTTCCCTAACCTAAAAAAAAAAAAGAAATTGCGAAAACGAATAGCTTTCACTTCGACGAAAGGAAATTTCATGGAAACGATGGACTATCCTAAATGAACGAATGAGTGAACTCACCCGAACGGTGGTAAAAACGTGAGCTGATCCGAACTCGTTTCGAGCTTCGATTGTGTACGTCCCTGCATCAGCACACATGACCTTATGGACGATCAAAGTGTAATGGATGCCATCAGTATCAGGTAGGCACCTCGTGGTATGTGTGATATCTCGGTTCCCTTTCAGCCAACGCACTTCCCAGAGGGAGAAACAACAGAAATCATGGTTCTTGCGATCATCAATAACATCACTTGGATGATAGATGATAAACTCTCTATTGAATGGGGAAGCTTAATTGAAAGGAACTCCTGATTTGGGTTTTGCAGCTCCGGGCAAGGTTGAAATATAGCTTTGTACTGTAGAAGCCATCATCATCACCCTAAGCATCTTTCCTATTCAGGTACGTTGTCACGCTCTGGTTGGGGCATCCAACACACGATTGATTTATTTTTTATTTCATTACAATGGGGGATCCGTTCATTGAGACTTGAGAAGCTTCATGCCGTTGGCGGTTGAAGTTGCCGTTATTTTTCCATGAGCAGCACTGTAATGCTGAGTGCTATACTAGCTACGTTTCCTCAGGGCCTGTATGAAATTTCAGCTCTGTACCTCGTATCTGTCGTTAATTGTTAACGGGCAGAATCAGCTGATTGAATATGAGTAATTTTTCAAAAGGGGAACAAAAGGCTGTCCTCGAAATTGCTACACCCACCAAGGACCCATGCTTGCTGGAAGGGCAGACCCTCCACAGTCTTCTTCCAACTGCTTATGAATGCTGGCAGCATGATCGCCTTTAGGGTAAAAAAAAATGCTAATGACAGCCCATTGTTCCCTATTTGAAAAACTTGTCATATTTAATCAGTTAATTTTACCACTTATTTCTTAGAAAAGTCTGTAAACAAAAAGGACATTAGATGCGAAGTTAAATTTCACGTCAGTGTAGTAGAAACATAGCCATTAGAGTAGTCAGGATTACAATGCTGCACCAGGAATGATGGAGTTGCACCACAATTAGCACTACCTTTTGAACGCACTTCATTGTACATCCATCGTTACCGCCGACAGCAAAGGAAAGTACGTGCTCGGCATAATATGGCAAAAAGGCGGTCGGTGATTGATAATTTTCATGGCTATTTTCGATCCGTGTATTATCCTCCTCCCTTTCGCGATCGGTTTCGAGAAAGTCAGCGAGACTCTCTCCTACCTGTTGGTTTGGGATTGCCACCGATCTTGCAGGAGATGACGAGGTCATCTCCTTGCTCGACGAACAATACATCATCGGGGAGGCCAAAGAAAGTGGGGATGGATCTGTCTTTGTCGTCGTCATAGTCCAGGCTGCTGCTGACGCCATGACGCAGGCTGACCGTGGCAGAGCTATGTGCGGACCCATACCTGTTCGACAAGCGACAGGAATACAGGCCCAAGTCCGAAGTCGTGACGTTGAAAACCATCAGGGTATGCGTGTTGCCACGAGAGATGGGTTTCACTTTGGCCTCATTAGATATCACTCTCCCATTGAAAAGCCACGTCACCTCGGGTGAAGGATCACCTGACAGCACCATTCAAATCAAAAGATGACACGAAAACTTCAAAATTCTTCGTAGAAGCTCATGCAAGCCGTATTTACCAGTCGTGACAGCCGTGAGAACCAACGTTTCCCCGATGGACACCGAGGAGTCAACTAAGCTCGTCTGAAGCTTGGGTTTTCTGGAATCGACTTCTTCAGGGAATAGTTCTCTTGAACCTGTCTCTGCGAAAGCAATGGAGTTTTAAAAAAAGTTAAATACTGCATGAGAAGAGCATGAACCAAGGGATTGAGAAGTGGATGGTGGGCAATACCAGGAATGGAGACTTTGATGGAAACTTCATCCTTGTAGATTTTGTTTTCCGCCACGCAAGTGTAGGTTCCGCTGTCTTCGTGTCTCGGTTGGCGGATTCTCAGGTAACATGTACCGTCGGGATCATTATTCGAAAAGAATCGAGCATCTCGAGGGATTCTGGCCCCATCCCGAAGCCAAATCACACTCGGAGTTGGGTGACCAGATAAAGAGCAGGACAGGACTAGATCTCCACTTTCGTCTCGCGTTTCTGGAACACAAATAGTTGAGAATTCATGGCGTACAGGTTTCCAGCTCACCTTGGATGTGAGTAAAGGGAGGAATGTAAGAGGATCATATCACCTTTCACAGAGGATGTGAATGTCGGTGGAATGTTTCTGACGTCAATGTCTCCTCGAACCCATAAATTGGCATTGGTACTGGATCGGCCGTGCTTATTTATTGCCACACAAGAGTACTCGGCAGAATCTTCCTGCCTGCAATGGAAATAAAATCGGTCGATGCAAGACACGCTCAAGAAATCGTCCTCTCGGCATGGGTGGCTCGTGAAATTCAGCAGTAGTGGATTCTGCGGAATCCACAGCTGAACATCATAAGCTACCATTACCTCGCATGAGAGAAAATTGACAATCTTACCTAGCATTAGAGATTTCTAGACAAGCGGTACCCTCATCATAAGAAAGGGATATGTTCCCTTCGGCTTCGGTGACAGGGAACCCGTTTTTGTACCATTCAACAGTGGGCTCCAAGTCCCCAGTCACATGGCAAGTCATTCTGATCCGGAAGCCTGGAGATACGGTGCGATCCTGCAGTTTTGTCGTAAACCGAGGTTTTTTGTTCTTATCACGTTTGAACGGCTCCTGCGCATCAAGGAGATAGAAGTTCGATTAACGTGCGAAAAATTAGATCTTTGAAGTTGAGAGAGAAACAATCCTTCTCACCTGAGGAGAGCCTTCGTTGGCCAAGATGGAGGTGTCCGTGGGGGAGAACGGCACCTGCTCGAAGCTCCTCCCTGCGATATCCACAGTAGCCAATTTTTCGCCCCTCTCCGATTTGGTAAGTGCCTCTGTCGTATCCTTGCTCATCGATGCCCTTTTCGACAATGATCGCAACGAACCGGGATGAACAGATTCACCTTCTACGTCCTCTTTCCGCGACAATTGGGATGCAGAAGACTTATCATCGGAAGATGAGGTATCGCTGCCATCCCCTAGGGATTTACTTTCTTTCATTGCCGCCGTTTTCTTCTGAGCTCTCTTTGTAGTTACCTTCTGGCCCGGATCTACATCACTTTTTTCGATGACTGATGTCTTCTTTAGCGCGGCCCTGTTACCATCTTCATACCCAGCTGTCGATAGTCGTCCATGTTTGCCCCTCTTGGAAGCATGTTTTACGTCCTCTAAGATAGCCTGAGACATATCAGCATCTGACGTCTCGCTGAGTGCTTCTTTGGCTTCAGCGTCCTCAGCAACACTCCCTTGAGGTTCCCTTTGATACCCTACTATATCTTCGTCCACCCGGGGTTTCTCCCCCTCTTGCCGATCCTTCTTCTTGGACAACTTCCTCTTCTTATATGATGCCTCATGTTTATCACCTTCAGCCTTATCAGTCTCCTTTTTCTTTTTTTGCTCCTCCAAGATTTTCTCCTCTTCCCTTCTTTTTCTTGTCTTCCCTTCCATATCTTCCTTTTCTTTCTCTTTCCGTACCGTCTCTTCCAAAGCTTTCCTCTCTTCTTCCTCTTTCTTCTTTTTCTCAAGCTCTTTCTTCTCTTTCTCTTTCTTGTCTTTGTCTTTCTTCTCTTTCTCTTCCTTTTCTTTCTTCTCTTTCTCTTCTTTCTCTTTTCGCTTCTTCTCTTTTCGTTCCTTCTCTTCCAAAGCTTTCCTCTCTTCTTCCTCTTGCTTCTTTTTCTCAAGCTCTTTCTTCTCTTTCTCTTTCTTGTCTTTTTCTTTCTTCTCTTTCTCTTCTTTCTCTTTCTTCTCTTTTTCTTCCTTCTCTTTCCGTTCCTTCTCTTCCAAAGCTTTCCTCTCTTCTTCCTCTTTCTTCTTTTTCTCAAGCTCTTTCTTCACTTTCTCTATCTTGTCTTTTTCTTTCTTCTCTTTCTCTTCCTTTTCTTTCTTCTCTTTCTCTTCTTTCTCTTTTCGCTTCATCTCTTTCCGTTCCTTCTCTTCCAAAGCTTTCTTCTCTTCTTCCTCTTGCTTCTTTTTCTCAAGCACTTTCTCCTCTTTCTCTTTCTTCTCTTTTTCCTCCTTCTCTTTCCGTTCCTTCTCTTCCAAAGCTTTCTTCTCTTCTTCCTCTTTCTTCTTTTTCTCAAGCTCTTTCTCTTTCTTCTCTTTCTCTTCTTCCTCTTTCTCTTCTTTCTCTTTCTTCTCTTTCTCTTCCTTCTCTTTTCGCTTCTTCTCTTTCTCCTTCTCTTTCCGTTCCTTCTCTTCAAATGCCTTCCTCTCTTTCTCTTCCTTCTCCTTCCGTTCCTTATCTTCCAAAGCTTTCTTCTCTTCTTCCTGCTTTCTTTTAAGATCTTGTCTCTCTTTTTCTTCTTTCTCCTCTTTCTCTTTCTTTCTTTCTCTTCTTCTCTTTTCGTTCCTTCTCTTCCATAGCTTTCTTCTCTTCTTCCTCTTTCTTCTTTTTCTCTTTCTCTTTTCGTTCCTTCTCTTCCAATGCTTTTCTCTCTTCTTCTTCTTTCTCCTCTTTCTCTTTCTTTTCTTTCTCTTCTTTCTCTTTTCGTTCCTTCTCCTCCATAGCTTTCTTCTCTTCTTCCTCTTTCTTCTTTTTCTTTTTCTCTTTTCGTTCCTTCTCTTCCAATGCTTTTCTCTCTTCTTCTTCTTTCTCCTCTTTCTCTTTCTTTTCTTTCTCTTCCTTCTCCTTCCGTTCCTTCTCTTCCAAAGCTTTCTTCTCTTCTTCTTCCTGCTTTCTTTTAAGCTCTTTTCTCTCTTTCTCTTCCTTCTCTTTCTCTTCATTCTCTTTCTCTTCCTTCTCTTTCTTTTCCTTCTCTTTCTCTTCCTTCTCTTTCTCTTCCTTCTCTTTTCGTACCTTCTCTTCCAAAGCTTTCTTCTCTTCTTCTTTCTTCGTTTTCTCTTTCTCTTTCTCTTCCTTCTCTTTCCGTTCCTTTTCTTCCAAAGCTTTCTTTTCTTCTTCCTGTTTTCTTTCAAGCTCTTTTCTTTCTTCCTTTTCTTTTTGTTTCTGTTCTTCCTGTTTTCTCTCTTCTTCCCCTTCTTTTCGCCTGCTTTCAAATGCTTTCCTTTCTTCCTGTTCTTTCTTCTCACGGTTTTTCTCTTCAAATAATTTTCTCTTCGCTTCTTCTTTGTCCTTTCTTTTGTGTTCTTTCCCTTTTTCTTTTTCCTTTTCTTCTCCTTCATGTTCTTTCCTCTCCTGCTCTTCATTTAGTTGCTCTTCTCGCTCTTTCCTCTCTTCTTTCTTCTTCGTTTGCTCCTGTTCCAACTGCTTTCTGTCCTCATCTTGTTCCTTTTGTTTTCTTTCAAGTCCTTTCATTTCTTCATCCTTTTCTCTCTGTTTCATTTCAGCCTCTTGTCTTTCTCCTTCTTCCTGTTCTTTTCCTTGAAGCGTATCTCTCTCATCCTTATCTTTCAGTAATCCCTGTTCATGCTGTTCGTTCACTCTCTTTTCTTGGGTTTCCCGTATTTCTTCTTTAAGCTCCTTTCTTGTTTCACTTTCAATTTCACTTTGTTCCGCTGTAAGCTTTTTCATTTCACCTTTCTTTTCCTCTGTTTGCTGTTCATTCTGCCATCCCCCCTCTTTCTTTTCTTTATGTTTAGTCTCTTCCATTTCTTTTTTTAACTCTTCCTTCTCTTGTTGCAAATTCTCCCCTACCTCATCCTTACCTTCATTTACCTTTACCCATTCTTGTTTTCCGGATTCCTTCCTTTTTTCATCCTCTACCTTTGTATCATTCTCTTCCTTCATCTGCTCTTGATCCTCGAACTTTTCCTTAACTTCTTCCTCCTCATTTGTACAGCGTTTCTCATCTCCAGGCTTCTTAAGTACTTCTTTTTCTTGCTGCGGTTCTAGAATCCTCTTCTTTTCCAGCTCTTCCTTCCTCTGTCGCTGGTCCTCGAGGTCCTTCTCTTCTTCATGCCCCGGTTTCTCTTCCTCGAGCATTATTTTCTCCTTCCAAATTGACTGATCCTCTTCCATCTCTTGGCCCCCTTTCCTAGTTCTTTTTCCTTCAATATTCTCCTGATCCATTATTAGCATTTTTCTTTCCTCTTCCTTATCCCAAGATTCCTTCTCTTCTGTGGTCACCTTTCCTTCGAAGGTATCATGAGCCACTGCATTACTTTCTGAAACGGCATGTTGTAGTGAGCCTATACAGAGATCATCAGCACTCTTCAATGCTTCATCATGTCCTACAATTCGTGAGGACTCTTCCACATTTCTGAAATCTAAGATGCCATCTGGAAACTGGTCTTCAGTTAGCGGACTCAGTGGTAGCTCTTCTACTTCTGATATAGTATGAAGCCTCTGAAAGATCAACGTTGACAATGGAAATCCTGTGGAATCAATTGGAAGTTCGTCTTCGCATGTTGTTGCATCGTCCACTTCCTCAATACACAATTGATCCCTTCTCTCTGGTGCTTCCACGACGTCTGTGGTTGAACTTGCTTCATCGACCAGAAATCCTGGATGCAAGTCATCCTGACTATCAAGCTTGTCTCTGGAAGATGACTCAATCAACTCGTAAATTTTCACATCATCGTCAAGGCTGTCCACCGATCGAACGCTCAGTGTTCTGATTGGTCGTTGAACCACGTCTTCCTTTCCACCTGTTTCAGCAATCTCGGGAAAAGCACAATATTTCTCCTGGTCTAATTCTCGCTTTTCCAGTACAGGTGATTCTTGTGCCATTGGATGCGTCATGGAAAATTGACCTTCACTCACCTTTCCACATGGTATGCCAGAATGAATTCCACTCTCCTGTTTCTCGTCTGCTGACGAGGCCTTGACCGAGCTCGGGGGCACGTCTTCATCTTCTTTGTAGGCATCCTCAGTCAATTTGCAGATTTTTGCAATAATATCCTTCGTTTGTTGAGCTATGTCGGCCATGACGGACTCCTCTGTCTTCTCGCCTTTTAGGTAGAGTTGAGGTTTGTAGAACTTTAAATCATCCTTCAGTTGTAAAAATTGTTCCGCTTGTTTTTTGATCCTCGTGGAGACATCTTCTTCCTCTTCTTCCATCTCTCTCAGCAGAGATGTCATGCGATCAATTGTCTCTTCATCTGAAGGACGCTTGGATGTCTCATACTGGTCCTCAGTATGTTTCATGAATGATTTCAGATCGTGAGAACCCATGTGCAAATCGTGTTCAGTGGAGGTGGATCCTATTGCTCTATCGAAGTCATCATCTTTCATTTGATCAATGGTGGCTGTTGAGGGAAGGTGAGGTAGTCTTTCAAAGGGCATATCACTTGATTCATGTAAACTTTGACTGCGCTCATCCAATTCCATCTCTCTCCCTTCGCGGCGGATGGGTCTGTCCTTAGGACCTTCACGCACTAGAATAGACTCTTCCACATCAACATCTTCCTGCGATCGCAGAAACTTGAGGTCTTTCTTTTCTCGGTTAGGACTCGAAAAAAGAGCTTCAGCATCAATATCTCCCTGTTGATCAGGAAGTTCATGGCCCGACTTCTCTCTCAGTTTGAAGGAACCTATGGCAGATAATTCTTCAGCATTAGGCTCTTCAGGTCGACTGCGTGCTCTGATGAAAACGTCTGAATATACGTCTTTCATTTCTGTTGCGGTCTCCATGCCTGTTTTTCTCTCGAGCGCTCCTTCCTCATCAGTGGGCTTCACCCTTTCAACGGGAACTCCCGGGAGTTCTAGATCTTCGGGTATGGCCTCTGTTAAGTCCTTCAATGACACTATTTCCGCTGATGCCTCCGAACTTGCAACCGACACTGCTGATGAGACTTCGGATTTCTCGGCCAGTTCAGCAACGCGCTCTTCTTCAAGAATAATTTGAGTAGGTCTATCAATATTGCCTTCAAGGACATTAGCGCTCCTTTCACCGAGCTCTCGATCATCATTTTCTTTCGACTTCGGTTTCATTGGTTCCTGTACATTAACTCGATTCGCATCTTCCAATCGGCTGTCTCCTGAGATTTCTTCACTGACTGATGCCGTATCTTTCTGTTCCTCTTGAACTTGTCGCTCTGCAGGAGGCAAGTCCTTTGCCACCTTCAGAGAATCCATTGCCTCAGAAGCCATCTTAAAAAATTCCGGACACTCATCTGACCTTTGTCGTATATCTGAATGCTCTGGTTCGGACTCACCCGAATCTGCTACCTCACTACAAACCAGAGGCAATTCCTGTTTCGATGCAGGGCTGCTTGCTTCTTGTTCGCCTATGGGAAGTTTCTGCAGTCCCATTGATTGGGATTCCTCTTGTTCGGCATCGGTCGGAGCGCAGGTTACGATATCCTTCTTGTCAATTTCTTTTTCTATTGCGGTAGGCGCATAGAAAGACTCCTCTTGGGATGGGCTCCCATCTCCAGCAGGAATTTGCTGTGAGTGTTCATGAAGATGATCCCCGGCAAGCTCCGTCTCAGAGATTTTGCGGGAAGGCATTTCAATCGTTGTGGAAACTGTATCTGCCGAAAGAGAAGATTCAGTAGTTGCTGATGACTTCGGGCTGTCATCAGAGACGTCAATAAGCTCCTGCTCCCTATCACCTACCATACCGTGCGGTGCTTCCTCGACTTCACCGATTTCCGGTAGAACTTCAGATATCACTGACAATGGTTCTTCAGGTTTTAATTGTATCTCAGATATGATCTCTTCTTTGTAAGCCTCTTCCATGACACTAGCAGTGCCTTCCTCTTCGTATTTCTCGGAAGCTTTAGCGATTTTTGAGACGGCTTCACTCTTCGAGTCCAATATGGTTGCAGTAGTATCGATATTTTCGGCATGCTCTTCGCTGCTAGCAAAACAGGGTTCTTTCACTTCTACCAAAATCTGTTTTTGAGAAGAAACTTCTGGCTTGTGTTCGATCTTATCTTCATAAGTGTCTGCATGCAATCGCTTTTCAGACAAACTTTCAGGACCTCCTTCAAGCTGTGATTCTGTGATTAATCCCATAGCCTTAACGGAAATTTCTCGATCCTCATCAGTTTCGAGTGCGGTTGGATGAACAGTTTCTTGGGTCTTCTGTGACTCTGAGAGTGGCATGTATTCGGAAGATTCTTCAAAATATTCAGCACGAGCTTCCTCTGCTTTCTCCGCATGGAAAGTGGACTCGGTCCCCTCCTTAAAAATATCCTCTTGAATCTCTATTTTTTCTTTCAGCCCTTGTGTCTCTTTGTCACCGCCTACGCTGAGATCATCGGTAACGATGTCTTCCTGTAAAATTCGCTCTTCCTTGGTTTCAAGCTCGGCGGGCGCGCCTTCAGCATCGTAGAAAACCTCATGAGATTTATTGTCATCAAAGGCTTCCCGAACCGGAACCTCCATGGCACTTACCACCGGTCTTTCTGCGACGGTATCTTCCCCCAATACTTGTTCTGTTATCGGGACAAGCTTGGACTCGGATATGTCCGTGGATCCCTTAGCCACTTCTTTGTCGGTAGGGCATTCTGTGAGGGATACGGTTCGATTCCATTCTGAAATGTCAACTTCCCCTTCCATGGCGTGACGTAATGCTTCAACTTGTGCTAATTTCGGAACTTCTGTAATGGAGAATTCTACCTCACTGATTTGGTCCTTTCCTGAGTCTTCAGAAGCAAGACCGCCCCCCTCTGCTCTCACGACAGTTTCATGCAATTCAGTTCCTTCTACAATGGCTGCAGATTCCTGTTTCTCTATCGCCTCATGACTATCTGGGGATGTTGGCAAGGAAAAGCTCTCCACCGTCGATGCTAGAATATTCTCCTCCACGAGAGCAACATTCTCGCCGGAAGCTGTCACAGAAATGGCTCGTGTTTCATCAGCTTCACTCTTTCCAAGAGGAGTCGCTTGTTCCTCCACTTGAATTTCCATTTTACCAGCGACATCTTTCAGACTTGTGGTTAATTCGTCGGCTTGGGAACCTTTTTCTTTGGCTATCTCTGGCTCGAGGAGCATCCACTCGCATGGTTCCTGATTTTCTATGACGACATTCTCCAGGATTTCTGATTCCTGTATTGACACGATTCCAGCCATCGTGGAAGAGTATCCTTCGGACAGACTGGGAACGTCGCCAGAAAGAGCATCGGGCTCTTCTACCTCGGGGGCAAGGCCAGCTGACTGGATCAAGAGTTCGGCATGTTCTCCTCCAACGATTTCTTTGATTGATCTGTCAAGAATCTCGGCGGGCACTGTGGGTTCAGTTATTTCTTCTTCAGACGCTACTTGTCTTTCAATTTCTTCTCCATCGTGCCCGGGTGTGGTTAGCAACTCTGCCTCTTGTTCCAGTGATTCCTTGTGCTCTTCTGCAACCATTGCGACTTCCAAGCTTTCAACGATGTCAGCAAATTGTTCTTCCAGTTGCTTTATCTCTCCCGTGGGAGTCACAGATCCACTTCTGTCAACGTCTTCTTCTTCTCTCTCCCCAGAGTGTGTAGAACTGGCATAAGATTCATCTGTTTCTGTCACACGAACCCCCAACCCCTCGGTCAATTCCAAGGTTAGGCTTACTTTGCGCTCCATCACGAAATTTTGATCCATTTCCTCTAATATATTTTCACATTCGCTGCTGTTTTTGACGATCGAAGCTTCATTTCCCTCCCCTTCACCGAGTCCTTTCTCTTTGACTGCAGACTCTTCATCCGTTCTTCCACGACGATCCTTCACCTCTATAACAGGAGTGGTCTCGCGAGCAAACAAGTCAGCTGCATTCTCAGGCATTTCTTGGTAGTCCTCCACACAGAGCGCTTCATGTTCGTCCAAGACTTCATGCGGTTGAGCCTCTACAACACTGCATGCATCCGAAAAAGTGTTGAGGTTTTCAGGCTGTGCCTCTAGGTCTTCTATGTTGACAGCCTCTTGTTCTGACACGTCGATATCAGCCATTTCCTCTTCTCTCAGATCATCCACTATTGTCTCCAAATCGTCTTCCATTGCTTCAGTCTGCTGCACCATCATTGCATTCAGAGGAGTAGCCTCTCCACTTAGAGCAAAATCTTCATTTCCAGAGAGACTGGAAATATCTTCCAGAGATCCAATAGTGTCCAAAATTTGCGGTCGGTCCTCCACAATCACGGGAGCCTGTTCGGACATGTCCGCAGTCCCTGCCTGCTCCATTTTTCTTTCCAGGCTAGAAGCCAAAAATTCATTTGCGTCTTCGAGCATGTCATAGTCTTCGATTTCGAGCGGCGAAAGTCCGGAAAAGTGTTCTTCGGCACCCTCTGTCGGAGTGCGGGTGCCAGAAGATATGCTAGCCAGAGACTCGTTGTCTGAACTACTAAGCTCTTCCTCCATTGCTTTGAGATAGACTTTGCTCTCCTTTCCAGGCATGCCATTGAGGAAGTCTTCTCTTAGTGTCTCTATTTGGTTGCTGGATCCTTGCAAGGACAGCTGAAAGAAGATGCTCTCATCGATTCAGAATTGACTCATGTGGTGATTAAAGAGAGATGAGGAGTTGAAAGGAAGAATAGACAGAAAAGAACAAACCTCTTCGATAGCAAGTGCCTCGAGGGCACTGAGCTCTTCGAAATCAGCTTCGGTTCGTAAGTCCTCTTCATCGGGTTGGACAGGGAAGCTCCCGGCCGGACCAGACCAATCGCCAGGGACGTCGATCACCGTCGCCTCCATCACGATGCCTGCCACGGTAGCAGACTCTCGAACGAACCTCAACGGAGGCAGCTCAACCACCTCCTTGGCTGTAACATATGATCTCATGATCTGACTATCCCCTTCCAGTCGAAGGGACGCAATCAAGTTGACATGGAGTATTATTTACTTCTAAGTGAACTGAGTTAAACAAGATACACAATCACTTGAAGAGAATATCTTGTTCCAGAAGAGTTCGTTTTGCATCAGGCGCTCCCCCCCCCCCCCCCCCCCCCACATCCCCC